AAGGCAGCATTCTCATAGGTGCCTGGTGGGACCTGACTGGGCATCCTGAGATCAGCTCCACCACCTCCCCACTACTCCCCAATCCCCCACTTTCTTGGCTTTGGTTAACTAAGATATGACCTCTGACCCTTGGCAGATGGCCCATATTGCTGTCACCCTGACTCAAAAGTCTTTGGTTTCTGCAAATGCAGTCACTTCCATTTTTGCAAAATCCTGCCCCCACGCTCCCAGTGCCATAAGATTTACAGAGTAGCAGCTGCTGCTGTCCCTCAGCACACAGACAGCTGACTTGCCTGCTGATTGTGAACATCCCAGTAATCCAAGTGCTAATGGTATTTATTCAGTCCAGCCGGCTTAGCCCTGAACAAGGTTTATTTTCATTTATCTTGTCAGAGACTAGCCTGCATCCTTAATATCCTTCTGTTGACTTTGAGTACACCAGTGCCATTGAAGTCACTGAGTGACATGCCAGGTCACTGCCCTTTTAACCAGTTCAAATCCCACACTGTCAGGACACCCACATTCCAGCCAAGACTGACTCCACCCCACCTCCATCCCTACCCCCAGGCTTGGGCTTAATCTGCAGGCAGGAGGAGGTGAGACCTCTGGGATCAATCAAGCTGTGTTCTTGGGATGCCGTCTGACCTCTTGAGTGGCGGTCATTTTAGTCTCTCCATCCCAATGCACTGGCTAGCATTTTGGCACTCTTTAGTTATGTGTTTATAACAGGAGCTAGTTTTAGCTGTGCTTCCCAAGTGAGGAAACTAAAGTGAGGTCATCAATCATTATTCCCAGGATTCTCACCAAGTATTCCCCAGGCTGTGGCCCTTGTACCTCTGGATCCCCTACACCTCACTCTGAGCTATTTCAGGCATTTCCTCCCTTAAAACACACAACAGTGAGCACTTTGAGCTCAAGGCTAAGCTACTTAAGGGGGAGAAATGTTCTAAGAGCATGCTGGTTTCTACTTCTCTGGGGCAGATGGCTCAAAAAATACCCGTCTGGATGGACTGATTGCTATTTGCAAATGTGTACCTTGTCTCCTGCTCTTCCTCTGCTGTGTGGCTGTGTTTTCTCGGCCCTGACTGGGCATCCCTGAAAGGATCACTTTAGAGGGTATTGTGTGGAACCCCGGAAGTGTTCACATGGCCCCCAAAGCCTGGTCTGGGGCCCAGAGTTAGTATGAGTGTCCTCGTTTAAACTGGTCAGGAAAAAACACTAGTCAGAGAATGAGTCCCAGGCTGCTGGGGCTGCCCTCTGCCACAGGCCCATATTTGGCCCACAGTCCTGCCCTACTCACCAGATCCTTCAGGTATCTGCTGCAGATGGAGTGGCTTTCACTGCCTTGTGGAAGTGATTTCTGTAAGTTACAGATGGCTCAGGCTTTCGCTTTCTCTCTCTTAGTTTGCCTGTTTGAGCTCTTTTGTGTCCTCTAAATGCCTCTCCTTAGGGATGGGGTGAGTTTCTGCTGCTGCTGTGGCTGTAGGTGTTCCTGGCTATAGCAGCCTACCTTGTGGGAAAAAGAACTTTACTATGTCCTGACGCCAGTGTAGATGACGGAAGGGCTCTGACTGCTCGGCGTCAGTTGATCCACTGACGCTCTGGGGAGGGGTGGGGGCTATGTGCCAGTGTTGGGCCATAGCCAGCTCCTGTGACCTGGGGGGTTGGGCCCTGCCCCACCAGGACTACATGGGGTAGGAGAGGCGGCATTGCTTCCAGGGAAGGAAAAGGATGTCAGGGCAGGAGAGGATACAGGCCGATACAGGCACACACCACATAGCCAGAACCAACTGGCCCTGGGCTATGCCTTTTGCTTACTGCCTATTGCCAGGGTTATTATGCTGACACAGGCCTTGTTCCTGGCCCTCTCTGGTGTTTCTGAGCCCTGCAGGGACTTGTTTCTAACACCACATTTGCCTAGTGCTGGGTAGGTCCTGCATTGTCACTCCTTGGCTGTGACCTGCTGTCTTCCTGCCCTGGTGTCAGTGTCAGCTGTTCCTCTCAGCCTCATTTTCCATGACTCTCCCAGGCAGCCTTCCACTGGTCTTCCCTGTCTGCACACGTTCATGCTGGCCTCCAAGCACCTGCCCTTTCCCCTGTCCCCAGGCCATCTTCCTCACCTGTAGTCCCAGCCTCTCCTGGCTTTCCTGTCCTTTCTTTGAACCCCCCACAGAGCACAGGTTCTGCGCCACCTGATCTGGCCAAAGGTTACACAGTCATTGGTTCACCCTTAAACTGGAAAGTCGAATCAGGTAGTATAGACTCTTTCCTGTTTATGGATCCTGCCATGTTAGGTGTTGAGTGCAGAGAGCCCACTGAGCTTCTCCAAGGTCTCTCTTGCACACAGGGTTGTGTGTTTTTGTTTGTTTGTTTATTTGTTTTTTTTAGTAGCTGCCTGGCAGTGGCTTGCCTCTAGATCCTTCTTAGAAGAGTGTTGTCTGACTTTCTCTAACTCACATTGGGGCTCCCTTGTGCAAGAGGTACCAGGGAAGCTGTATCTTAGTGACTTTTGTCATCTTCACTCCCAATAAGCTGGTTCTTTCTCTGGGGATCCCAGGATTTGCCTACACAGTGTGTGCCCTTCCCTGTGACCCTAATAGTTTGCTTATTTGTGCTCTGGTTCCTTAGGGGTTTGAGTCTTTGGCATACTGCCACCCTATTTCCCCACCAATACTGGTGTTGGTGACAGGGCTGTAACCCTGGGAGGTGCCGGGCAGTTGGGTTCTTGGCCAGCTCAGGCCCATCACTGTGGGTGGCCCCTGTATGCTGAGCCTGGCCTTGCCTTCTAGGGTTGGTGGGTGATTGGCTCAGCAGATCAGTAGACAAGGACAGTCTCAAGCACTGTCTTTGTGAGGCCTTGTCTCCATCTCTCTGCAGGACCCTGCGGATGGGGCTCCTTGGTGCTCCCTGAGTTTGCTGAGGTGTCGGGTCTCGCAGCCCCCCTTCTTTGGGAGGCAGCATTTGACGTTTGTGTGAATTTTTCAGCATGGTCGTCTTTTCTTAGACCCTGCCTGTCGCGGGTGAGCGTTCCTCAGGCACATGATGGCAGAGACAGCCCTAATTAGCTCACGCTTTGATGAAGCAGCTGCCTTTCTCAAGTTGGGAGGGAGCAGGGGGCAGGGGAGAGACTGAGCTCCCAGGCCCCCTGCATAGGCACCCACCCCCCTGTCTGAAGAGGAGCTGTCGGCCTCCCTTCCCCAGAGACCTAAGTGGGCTCCAGCTAGTCTCCAGCCTGCTCAGCAGGCGCTGGGGTTGTAGAGGGACTGCCACGCTGCTTGCACTTCCCTTCTGGCTGAGAAGATGCAGGTTGATGCAGATCCCATTTTACAGCAGGAAACCCCGACTCAGCGTGTGTAAGCCTGCTTGAACCTTGAAGCATGCACAGTAGGAGCAGAGGGCTGGACCATCACCATTGCAGGCAGCCAGCTTGTATGTGTGTGCTCGGCCGCTCCCACCAGCAGCAGCGTGCTCGCTTGCCACCTGCTTCCCCCTATCTCTGGGTTCCTCCCCACCAAGAACTTCCTCCCTCTGATGTGCCTTTGCTTCCCATGCAGGTCCCCTTCCAGCATTGAGGTTAGAAGGAAACAGGCCTTTGTGGTCCAGGGAGCAGGAGACCCGGATAAGATGAGGCAGTTGAAGTCAGGCAGAGATTTGGTCATCGTCGTGGACTCTGCTGATCCGTGAGGCCGCTGACTTCTGGCCTCGTCCCTCCCCTTGCTGCTTGCTTTCAGCTTTTTCTGTTCCTGCTGTCTTTCTTCTCTGAGGCCGTGTGAGTGAGCTGGTGAGGGAACCTTGACCTTCCTGACGGGCCTAATTACAGATCCCTGTGTTTGGCACTCGCTCTTTAATTGATTACTAGGTTGATCTTAGAAAGCCACGTTCCCTGCCTGAGGCCCTCCATCTGGGAAAAGATGGAGCCAGGGGGCCTGTACATTCAGCGAGTGAATCTCGTTGCTCTTTCCTGCCCAGAGCGGGGAGAGAGGTCCCGGGACAGCTCTGGGGTGTGACTGTCGCCCGTCGGCTGGATAGCGTGGGCACGGAGGTAGACATGTTCGTTCTTTCGTTCCCTGTCGGCCGGGACCCGAGGGCGTGGTGGGTTTTGTGCTGAGTGCAGAGAACACAGGGACAGAGGAAAATCACGGTAGCTGTTCAAATAGAGTGGAGAGTTGATGGGGTGGCAGCTGCGTTGGGGCTAGTTTAGGATCTTCTCAGGGATTCAGAGGCTCCCTGGATCTTGTTCCCCCTGCCTTCCTCCTGCCTGGCGCAGCGGGCTGTCTGTGTGCCTCCCCAGGCGAGGGGAAGAACGGCCCCCCGAGGAGCGGCGTACTCTAGTGTGTGACGGGTGTGGGGTCGGGAAAGGAGGAGCACTCAGCACGGGCTTGGGGGTGTAGGAAAGGCTTTCTCCAGGAGAGGACTTCAAGTAGGATCTTCGAGGATGTGAGGGCGATCTGGCTGCGACATCTGTCACCCCATTGATCGCCAGGGTTGATTCGGCTGATCTGGCTGGCTAGGCGGGTGTCCCCTTCCTCCCTCACCGCTCCATGTGCGTCCCTCCCGAAGCTGCGCGCTCGGTCGAAGAGGACGGCCTTCCCCGAATAGAGACGGACCGGTCTTCGGTCGAGGGTATACGAGTAGCTGCGCTCCCCTGCTAGAACCTCCAAACAAGCTCTCAAGTAGGATCTTCGAATGGTGGAGATGGTTTCCTTTCCTGATCACCCCAGCTTGTTGGCCTTTGGGGAGTGGGAGACTGACCTGGGAGTCCTTAGCTTTGTCCTCTACACTATAGACCCTTGTACCAGGTGTTTCCACGTGGGCTGGTATCTGCTCCCCAGCTCTGTTCTGGCTTGTCTGGAGTGGGGCCTCCCCTTGTGCGCCTTGTTTCTCCCAGAATGACTGGGGTGGTGTCAGCTCCCTAGCCACCCAGAACCCCTGGGCACAAGGGAACGCCTCTGAGTTGGTGGCAGGTACAAAGCCATGCTTTCTTTTGTTTCTCCCCACAGCAACCCTAAGGTCCAGGTGGAGGCCATTGAGGGGGGAGCACTGCAGAAGCTGCTGGTCATCCTGGCTACGGAGCAACCTCTCACGGCAAAGAAGAAGGTTTGTTTGCTGGCTCTTCCTTCCCAGCCCCAGCACCCCTGTGTAGTCTGAAAGGAGAGCGACCCTTTCCAGCCTGTGTATGTCACTTTGGGGACATGAGTCATCCTTGCTGGGTGGCACAGGGGGAGAGGTCCCACTCAACTAAAGCAGCATGGTAGCAAGCCAAGAGTTCTGGAAGTCTGGGTTTAGCTCCTACAGTGCATCCTACCCTGGGCCTCCATTTATCTACTAGTTAATGTTAAAGGTGCCTGACATCTCTGACTCTCCAGACCTGGGCTTCAGGTATAGTGCCTGAAAGGGGAGCAGAGGGGTAGGTGGGGCATCGCTGTCTGTCTTTCCTTGGTCGTGGGGCAGGGCCAGCTCTGTGTAGCCCCTCATCATCACCTATGTGACTCTGTGACTCGCCAGGTCCTGTTTGCACTGTGCTCCCTGCTACGACACTTTCCCTATGCCCAGCAGCAATTTCTGAAGCTGGGGGGGCTACAGGTCCTAAGGAGTCTGGTACACGAGAAGGGCACAGAGGTGCTGGCCGTGCGTGTGGTCACCCTGCTGTATGACCTGGTCACAGAGAAGGTGAGTGCACAGGCCTCCCCCTCACTGTGCTTTGTGCTGGCCTCCAGCTCTGGCACAGGCCCGCACTCCTGCCTGCTCTCTTCCCTCCATCTCATGTATGTGAGCACTCAGCACATGAGCCAGCCCTGTGCTAGGCAGTGATGCTGTGGGAGCGCTTCCTTGGGCCCTGAACCCGGGATTTCTGAGCCATCAGAGAAGATACCCTGTGAGGAGTGACAGCTAGGCTGTAACCTGAGGACTGGCAGGGAAGGCGCGCTGGGAGCCGTCTGGGCAATGTGCCCGCAGAGGGGTCGGCATGGTGGGAGGGTGGAAATAACCAGGACAGCCCTTTGTGAGTAACAGGTCAGAAGCTTAAGGTGTGTTGAGGACTAGGTAGGATGGAGCAGCTGCACCCTGGAGGCATCTTGGGAGCCAGGAGACCGGAAGCAGAATGACACTGAATCATAAGATTCCAGAAACCTGGGGTGTCTCCTTGGGGAGCTTTGTCTTTGGGCAGGGCTCAGAGTGACTGCCCTCAGGGGCCCCAGGGACTCTAGTTGCCTGCCGCCTGGGAGGAGGCTTGGTGCTGGGCCCACTTCAGTCTTTCTGAGCCTGAAAAGTGTCTTAATTAAGGGGAGTGAAGCCAGCCAGGCCTGGATTCTTAATTCAGCTGCTGCAGAGCATTGGCAGGGCCTCTCAGCTGCCTCCCTCGGCCACACGCTCCCTGAACAGCTGACTGCAGATTGGTGGAGCAGAGCTGGGCAGCGCTGCGTGCTTGCCTGCGGGTGAGGTGGGGGGGGGGGTGTGTGGGGGATGTTAGAGGCTGAGAGACCCAGACCCTCTTCCCCACCCCGCCCAGGCTTTGGGTTGGGGGTCAGAGTTGTCTTTTGCCACTTTGCTGTCAGCTGTGTGCTTTTGTGTGCAGGTACCAGCTGTCTCATTCTCTTTATCTCTCTACCTGTCCCCTCTTTTTCTTTTTCTCCCCACCGCTCTCTGTTCACCCCCACTCTCTGTCTCTTTCCTCTGTCTATCCCCCCCACTCTTCTCCAAGCTGCAGAAACCTAGTTTCTCAGATCAGCAGGCAGGTATGTGGTGCTCACATCCAATTAATAAGGCCTGGGCACAGTTGACATCATGGGAAAGGGGCAGCAAGCCTGGCTTGGCATTTCCCAGGGGAAACTGATCTTCTTCTGGTGTCCAGTGTCTCTGCCGCCCCAGCCCTTGCAGGCACTGTGACAACGGCTCATTGCCAGAGTTACCAGGAGGCACACTCACCAAGACTGCCCTGGGCAGCTGGCTCTAGGAGCCACTTTTGAGGCTTTGGGGTACTATGAAGATCGGGGCGCCACTGGCATCTCTCTGCTAGCAGTACAGAGACAGCCTTCCTCCTTCAGCAAGGGAGGGCAGTGGAGGAGTTTGAGCTCAAGAGCTTTAGGATAGACATCAGCCATCCCCCATGCTTCAGGAATTCTCTGTTCTTGTGGTTCAACAGAAAGAGTGAAGAACTGCCAAATTAGTGTCAGGTCCAGAGGTGCCTGTGGGAAGGTATGTATGCTTGCAGCTGGGGCACCACAAGCCTTGAGGGCATTGTTCGTGTAAGGAGGTAGCAGCCAAGCCTCAGGATTCCCAGGGAGAGTATGGAGTGTGGGACCTGTGTCTGATTCTCGCCTCTGCAGAGCTGGGAATGATGCCTGTGGTTGGGCGCCCACAGCCTCTCGTGCCACCACAGGCTTGATCTGCCCGCTGGCTCCTGACAGTATTGAGTGGTGTCAGCCCTGCTTGCTGCTGTGCCAGGTCTGAGGTACCTGCCCTCTCGGCCTTTTCCAGCAGAATTTATTAGAGACTCACCCAGGGTACATAGGCTGCAGAGGCTTATGATCAGGGCCCTAACCTCTTCTGGGCAGTCAGGGTGAAGCTGAGACCAGAGGTGCGTCAGGTAACTGGAGTTGGTTAAATGGCTGCTGTACCGATTTACGTGACAGGCACCAGAATGAGTCTAGCTGGCCTTCTCCCATGAATGGTCGTGAGCCCAAGGGGATGAAGGGAGCAGATGTGGGCTCATTGGTCAGCCCTGTTCCTTGGGAGCTGACGCCTCTGTGTGTTCTCTCTCCCTTCCCACCGCTGGTGCCTGGCTGTGTGGACGGCAGATGTTTGCCGAGGAGGAGGCCGAGCTGACCCGGGACACATCCCCAGAGAAGCTGCAGCAGTATCGCCAGGTGCACCTCCTGCCGGGCCTGCGGGAACAGGGCTGGTGTGAGATCACTGCCCACCTCCTGGCCCTGCCTGAGCATGATGCTCGAGAAAAGGTGCTGCAGACGCTGGGCGCCCTTCTGGTCACCTGTCGTGACCGCTACCAGCAGGAACCCCAGCTGACCAGGACGCTGGCCAGTCTGCAGGCTGAGTACCAGGCGCTGGCCGCCCTGGAGCTCCAAGATGGAGAGGATGAGGGCTACTTCCGGGAACTGCTGAATTCCATCAACAGCTTGATGAAGGAACTGAGATGAGGTTCTCCCCCCGACACCCGGCCTGGACTGGGATGCTGCTAGTGAGGCTGAGGGGTGCCTGCTTGGGTGGGCTTAGGGACATCAAGCAGGAACGAGGACTTCCCTAGTGGGGCATGGGCATCACCTAGGTAGTGCTGGCTTGGCATTAAATGGAGGCATAAAGGCCATTGTCTATCTACTGTGTGTCTGTGCAGACTGGGCACAGCCCTGTGGTTGGGAGACTATGTCTGGGAGCCCCCAAGGTACTTGGGTAGCTTGTTGGGTGAAAGATCGGTGAGAGCACCTGCTAACATGCTGGAAGGTCAGGACAGGCATGTAACAGGAGCCAGGGGAAGGGTCTGGGTCCAGGAAAACCCTGCCTCAGGCTCCACACTTCTCACATAGTAACAGTGACCTTGGAAAGTCAAAAGGGGATCTACACCAGCGCCTGGACCTGTGGCTCCTGGAACTGTGCTTGTCCCTACCATAGCTGGCTCTGAGGCGAGGCCTGGGATCGGCTCATTACCCACCCTGCTCTGAGCTCAAGTCATAACTTTGAGGCCATTGGCACTGGCAGGAGCCTGAGGGCACCTCCACATGCAGGCAACTGCTGGCCCTGGTTGGGACCTGGGTCGAAGGACACTGGGGAAATGTTGCTGTACCCTGCAGGCCCTGAGTGTCGGCCTCAGGGAGAGCGTTACCTCACTAAAACTGCTAGTGGGCGCTCAGGCCTGCCTGGCCCACCTGACCAGAGATGCCGCTCTGTGCCCCTGGTCCTGTGTCTGTAAGACGGGCTGAGACGGGAGAGGCCTTGGAGGCGGGAGCAGCCGAGCCTGACAAGTACTGGCCCCCACCCTGGAGAGGCTGAGCGCCAGGCTGGGAACCTGATGCAGGTTGCCACGGCAACCCGGGCTCTGGGCTTTCCTGATTTGGATTCTGGTGTGCTTGTTTTTCAGCCTTTCCAATGCACCAGAGGCTCCCTCCTGCTGCTCGGGAGCCCCTCCCAGCCCCCATGTAGAAATCACCGCAGCCTGTCCTTGCATGGAGAAATCTCAGCGTCCCTGAGATTAGGGGTAACTGAGGCCCAGAGAGACATGGAGCAAGTGGGTGATTCCTTCCCTTTGCTCAGCCTTAGACCCTTTCCTGCCCACCTCAGGCTACAGCACATGAAGCTGGGTAGAGAGCCAGCAGAGTCCTCCTGGGAGGTCAGGAGCCTGTTGGATCAGGGGAGGGAACCCCAGGGCTCAGAAGCGAAGGCCACCAAGTGTTGGGCATCTACCTCCTCACTGCCTCAAAAACATCTCAACTGCCTTGCAGAACATTGGACAGATGAGGAAATTTTGGTTCAGAGAGGTTAAATGATCTGCCTGAGGTCATACAGGTTGTAGGTGGCAGAACTGGAATTTGCTGACTGACCACGTGTGGAAAGCTGGAGTGTGGGTCTCAGAAGGGGAGTGTTTAACTTGAAAGGCAGTGGTAAAGACCAGTGGAGACAGCAGCGCAGGGCAGGGTGCAGAAGGGAGGTGTGGGGGGTTCTGGCTTAGGCCAAGGTCAGCAGTCACTTTCAACATGGCGTCACACTCTGCATGTGGATGTGACAAGGCAAGGAGAGGTGTGAGGGGATGGGGTTGCCCTGGCTCATGCTGGGAGGGAGGAGGGCATGGTGTTAGATGCAGTCTGGTCTGGGCCTCTTCCTGGGCACTGAGGCAGGTGCACACACTGTATGAGAGCTGGCCCCTGGGGTAGGGTCTGACTGGAGATCTCCAGAGCCCTTGAGGCCTCTGTAACTAACAGGATCTGATCAAGGATATGGGAAGAGGTCCTTGTGGAAGGAGTGCCACTTCCAGAGGCCTGAGGAACCCAGGAAGAAGAAGTATCTCTTCTACCCTCAGGTGTGCCATACAGAATAGTATCTCTGTAAAATAGAAAGGGGACTTTGAGCCATAGGCTCTGGGGCTGAGGAAAAAGCATCTGGGACTACTGTGAGGGGAGCCAGGCCACATGCCAGGTGAAAATACTGCCTCCCCCCTTTTCCCCATTCTACGTGCATGCACACAAACAAATGCACTGCAGAGGATGAAGTTTGCTATGCAGTCTCTCTCCTCACTGGCCTCGTCTGGGTTTGTCCTGCACCTTTTTTTTTTTTTAATTTTTGCATACAAGAACTGGGGTTCAGGCCATAGGTGCAGGGGTGAAAAGATTTACCAGAGACAGAGTGGGGAGCAGAACAGGCAGACTGACTGAAATACACTGCTGAGGGGAGCAGTGGGCGAGACAGGAGAGGTCTGCTGCGCCATGTGGGTAGCTCCCTGGCCAGAGATCAAACTCAAGCCATAGCGGTGATGGCGCTTAGACTTAACCCCTAGGCCGCCAGGGAGATCCCCGCCCCGGAGCTCTGATGCTGGGCACTGGAGGAAAAGAAAAGCCACAGTGAGGTCCAGGGCTTGGGCTTGCACTGCCTGTTTACAGGTTCTGGCTCCACCTCTCGATTCATCACTGATTACTGTCTGCAGGTGTAGAAGGAGGTCTTCTCGGCTGCCCTTTGGGGGCCATCCTGGGAACAGAGGCCAAGGAATGTGACCTGGGCTCAACATTAGGCAAGACATGGTAACGCCGGACCAGAACCATAGAACTTGGGGTGATGTGACTTACTCCTGTCAGGACCTGCATGCTGCATTCTTCTCTCACCCCTGTCACTTAGTTGGGCCGGTGGCCTGGTGGCCTAGCCTGAGCACTGTGACAGGCTCCGTAGGCCTTGTAGGCTCCTGTAGCACCCTGGCTGGTTGTTGGACCCTTGTTCCTTGGCTGGGCCTTCTCTAAATCCCCTGACCTGGGTCCCCACCCATCCTTCGGCAGGCTTGGTCTTACTAATTGACATATTCATTCACTGCTTTTATTGAGCAGTTAGTCTGTGTTAGGCCCTGGAGTTCTGAGTAGTAAGCAAGGCCCTGTAACTTACAGCTCATAGTCTGTGAGCAAGATGGATGGTGTATGATAGGAGAGGTCTCTGAAGTCAGGGAAGTCCTCCTGGAGCCAGTGCTAGCCAAGTAGATACCTGAAGGATGCTTGAAAAATAAACCAGGTGAAATGGGGAGAGGGTTTCCGTCCCAGGAAGATGGCGGGGGCGGGGGTTCGTTTGCGGAAACTCCAAGTTCAGTATAGCTGAAGGAAGTGGTGGGGGTCCAGGTATGGCTACAAGGGTCCAGGAGATTATATTCTCCAGTGCCTTGTTAGCCTTGCTAAGGAGCATGTCCTCATCCTGATGGAGCTGGAACCCACGGTTGGGTTCTAGGCAGAACCCTAGCTGCTGCTCACTCACGCACTGATTCATTCACAAAAGACATCTGATCTGGTTCTAAGAGGCAGACACTGTTCTAGGTCATGAAGTGGTAAATAGAACAGCGGCAGGGAAGGGCTGACATCCCAAATAAGTATTTAATGTGATGCTGGACAGTAAAGGCTAACAGCTATAAAGGAGAACAAACCATGATAGGAGATAAAGGTTGTTGGAGAGGGCCCCTCTGATGAGCTGGAGTGTGACTAGACCGCAGTGAGGCAGTGAGCCACGTGCGGTCTGAGGAGACACCAGGGAATAACAGAGGCAAAGGTCTTGGGGCAGCAAGATGGCTGGGGTGATTGAAGAGAAATAGGAGTCAGTGGGAAGAAGAAACAGCAGCAACCAGGGGAGGACACATCTTGGCTGTGGGAGTACATTGTGACGGAAGCATTGGAGAGTTAGGGATGAGGAAAGACCCAATGTCACTGACATTTTACAGGATCCCTCTTGTTATTATGGTGAGACCAGGGGACATGGGAGTGAGGGTGGGGTCTGGTGTGGAATCTGGTGCAAGTTGGTGCTTGAACCTGGTGCTTCCTCCTTCCTTCATTGAAGAGGAAGAAGAATTAAGGATGATGCCACACTTGGGACTTGGGCACACGACATATGGAAGCAGTGAGCAATAGCACTGTCAGTTTGTCCGAGCAGATTGAGACTTTGTGGTAGGTATTGTTTTGGACATGTTTCCATTGAGACCACAATTGGACATCCAAGTGGTGATGTTGAATAGGGAGCTGGAGACAGTGTGGCATGTAGGGGAGGGGTCATATGAAAAGAGACATTTGGATGTGGTGTGTGCAGAGCTGGCTCAGAGCCACGTGCAGCCATGTGGGTGGGTTTTAGAAACTTGGAGAGTTGGTTGGTCAGCGAAGCCATTATTAAAAATCAAATTATTTAAACTTAGAATTAAATAGCATTAATAAAGCAAAGATTATTTAAAAAAAAACCCCACTAATAAAAGAGCAAATTAAATCCGAAGAAAGTAAGAAGAGAAAAAGAAAAGCTAGAGAAAATCACTGGAATGAAAATATGGTTATTTAAAAGAAGAAAACACAAATGAGACCAACATCAGGAATTAAAGAAGGGATATTAGTATAGACCCTACAAGCATTAAAAGGATAGTAAGTGGCCACAAACAACTCTAAGTCCATTCATTTGACAACTTAGAAGAAATATTGGACTGGTTCCTTAAAAAATATTGTCAACAAAACTCATACAACAGGGCCTCCCCTGGTGGCGCAGTGGTTGAGCTCTGGGCTGCAAAGCTGTCTGCGGCCTCTGCAGCGCCGGTTCGATCCCCGGCCACCAGCGAGGGTCCCACATGGCGCGCAGACCTCTCCTGCTGCCCGCTGCTCCCCTCAGCAGTGTATTTTGTCAGTCTGCCTGCTCTGCTCCCTGCTCTGGCTCTGGTGAATTCTCTCACCCTCCCGCGCTTCTGACTGTACCCAGTGCTTGTATAAATAAATAAATCTTAAAAAAAAAAACCAAAAAAACCTCATACAACAAACATCAAACTTAATGATCAAAGACCGACTGTTCCTCCCTAAGATTGAGGGCCAGGCAGGAATGCTTACTGTCCCCTCCCTGTTTTAATACTGTACCTGAAGTCCTGAGCAGTGAAGTAAAAAAGTCAAGAAAATGAAATAAAAGGCACACAGATTGAAAAATAAAACTGTCTGTATTCATAGGTGACATGATTGTCCATGTAGAAAATCCCATGGAATGTACCAAAAAATCTAGAACTAACAATGAATTTAGCAGGGTCATGAGACATAAGGTCATTGTATAAAATTCAGTTATATTTGTATCTACTGGCAATGAATAGCTGAAAAATTTAAAAAACAGTAGCATTTATAATACCATTGCAACAGATGAAATGTGTGTAAATTTAACAAAATATATGCAGGATTTTTATGCTGAAGACTATAAAATGATTACAGAAGTCAAAAAGATCTGTACAAATGAAGGGACTCAGTTCATGGGCTGGAAGACTCAATACTGTTAATATGTCAGTCCCACCCCCCGAATTCAACTTACAAATTCAGTGGAATCCCAGCTGGGATTTTTTTTTTTTTTTTAAATTTGCGGTAATTTTTCTTTTCTTTTTTTTTTTTTTAAAGATTTATTTATTTATACAAGCACTGGGTACAGTCAGAAGCGCGGGAGGGTGAGAGAATTTACCAGAGCCAGAGCAGGGAAGCAGAACAGGCAGAAGGACCGAATACACTGCTGAGGGGAGCAGCGGGCGGCAGGAGAGGTCTGCGCACCATGTGGGACCCTCTTCCGGTGGCCGAAGGATCGAACCGGCGCTGCAGAGGCTGCGGGCAGCTTCTCAACCCAGCGCTCAACCGCTGCGCCACCGGGGAGGCCCCCCAGCTGGGATTTTTTTAGCCAGTAAGGTTTGTTTTGAGAGTTTATATGGAAATGAAATGGCTAAAATCTTGAAAAAGAAGAAAGTTGGAGGTGTCGCAGGAGCTGAAATACTTACCCCACAGCATGCTAATCAAGACAGTGTGGCATCAGCCAGAGGATAGACTCATGGATCAATAGGGAGCTGAGAAACACACCCTCACAAATACAGTTAATTGATTTTTGACAAAGGTGCAAAGACACCGCAGTGGAGAAAGTAATTAGTGCTGCAACCAGTCGAAAGCCATATTTTAAAAAATGAACCTTGACCTATTCCTGACATCTTATACAAAATTTAATTCAAAGCCAACCATAGAGCAAACAGAAAAATTACAGTACTTCTCGAAGAAAGCAGAAGAAAAATATTTATGATCTTGAGTCTAGACAAAGTTCTTAGATGCAAAACTAGACACAATTTATAAAGTAAAAAAATTGATGAGTTAGACTTTATCAAAATTAAAGACTTGTTCTGTAACTGAAATTGTTAGGAAGCTAAAAACCCACATAGGGGGTGGAATTCACATATCTGACAAAGGTTTTATATCCAGAATATATAAAGAATCCTCAAAACTCATCAATAAGAAAATAACCTAATCTAAAAAGTAGGCAAAAAATTTGAAAATACAAAGAGATAGAGGACAGACAAGGATGTGAAAAGATACTCCATATCATGAGTTGTTAGAAAATGCAAAGTAAAACCATAGAAGGCACCACTAGACACCAATTCAAGTAACTGAAAAAATGTTAAAACGTAAACTAAAAACCTGGTGATACCATGTATTGATGAGAACGCAGAGCGAGACGGGACTTCTGTCCTGCTGCTGGGAATGACAGAATGACAAAGCCACGGCAGCATCGTTCTAGATTCCTATAAAGTCACATATATTTAACCCTGTAATAGAGCAACCTCACTCCTAGCTATTTACCGGAGATTAACAAAAATCTGGGTTCACACAGAAACATATAATAAATGTTTATATCAGTTTTATATGTTCAAAACAAGTAGAAACAATGCCAGTGTCCTTCAACCTGGGGGATGGAAAGAAACTGGCACAGCCTCACTCTGGAAAACCACCGAGCAGTGGGCAGGCGTGAGCTGTCGCTGCGCACAGCAACGTGTGCTGCTCAGATGCTTTGAGATCAAGAGGCCGGCCGCGTGCTGTTGCTCATTTCTCTGACTTTCTGGAAAGGCAAAGCTACAGGGAAAGGGTTTTGACAGACTTAGAATAGGGGCTGTCTCCTCTACATTGGAGTAGCATGAGGGGCTGGGGGGGGGTTGGAGGGGATGGGCGGAACAGGTCTGCGTCTTGACTGTGATGGTCGTTACATGACTGTGTCAGAATTCATAGAAGTAGACACCAAAAAGCAAGTTTTACCGTGTAGATTCAAAACTAAAAAGCTTAAAATGTAATACTCGAAACTCATCCTTTCTTAGTTGGCATTTAACTGTCATCTGTGCTCTTGATTTCACCCACGTCAGCCACATCAGGTGGGGGAAACGTTTCCTCGCCAGCTCCTGCCCTGCTGCCCGCCCGCACCTTTAGGACGTGCCGGTGGCTGCAAATTGATGTGGTGGGAGGATTTCCACAGAAGAAATTGGAAAATGCCATAAATTAAGACTTAATTTATTGTCTTGTTTAGTCTTAAGAAGGGGATGAAGAAAGTGCTCATGCTTATAAAACTTAAAAGTGTTTCATCTTTTTTTTTTTTTTAAGATTTATTTATTATTTATACAGGCACTGGGTACAGTCAGAAGCGCGGGAGGGTGAGAGAATTCACCAGAGCCAGAGCGGGGAGCAGAGCAGGCAGAAGGACCGAAGCACACCGCTGAGGGGAGCAGCGGGCGGCAGGAGAGGTCTGCGCGCCATGTGGGACCCTCCTCTGGTGGCCGGGGAGCAGCCGGGGATCGAACCGGTGCTGCAGAGGCTGCGGGCGGCTTCGCAACCCAGCGCTCAACCGCTGCGCCACCGGGGAGGACCAAAAGTGTTTCATCTTTGCACCAAAAATTGAGAAAATCGTCTTACAGCTGTTACCTGATCCAGCAGAGAAGTCATTCATGGACCAATGAAACCCCAATGTGTTTCTGTTGCTTTGCTTTCATAGGCTGGCCGTGGGTGCAGTGTTTCAAGCAAAACTAGTGAACGTCTTCGGTGAGAATCGGTGGACCGTGTGGAATTTACAGTAAAGAGTATTTGCATATTTTATTGTTATTTGTGGATTTTGTGCTACAATTTCTTTATTGGAGTAAAAAATACAGCGAGTGAATGTATGTATCTAGGTGGTCTCCGGCTTACGGTTGTTCAACCTAGTTTTTTGACTAATGAGGCTTTGAAAGTTACAAGCATTCAGTAGAAATAATACTTTGAATTTTGATCTTTTCCAGGCTTGTCACATGTGGCTCACAAGGATGTGCAGCGCTGTCGGCCGGACAACACGATGGTGACAGGGTAGGGCTTGAGCTGCCCCGTCGGCCACGCAGTCACACAGGTAAAGCAGCAACACTCTCCAGGGTACCGTGTTGCCAGCGTGTTTGGATATTGTGGTTTGTGTTACCTGTGTTGAAGATACTTAAAGCTCAGTTATAAAACAGGTTTTGTGTTAGATGAGTTTGCCTAATCGTAGGCTAACGCGCGCATTCTGAGCAAGTTATGGTAGGCCGGGCAAGGTGACGACGTCCAGTAGATGAGGTGTATTGAATGCATTTTGAACTTAACGCTATCTTCAATTTACAGCGGGTTTATCAGGATATAACCCCTTTGTAAGTCACACATATGTATGTATTTGCACCCCCCTCCACACCCCGTCTGGCTGGTAGGCATTTACTCTCGACCTCCGCTTAGGAATCATAAGAGAAGGGGAGAAGACTGAGGTTAGGGCCGGTACCTCAACATTAGCTGTCAAGACAAGAATGAGCTGGTAGTGGAGGAGCAGGGCTCAGTGGAGGGTGTGGGCCGTGAACTAGAGAGGGCGTGAGGAGGGAGCCAGTGGCCGTGGGCATCCCATGCTCTAGAAGGGACAGATGGTGTGAGGCGGGATGAGGAGGAAGGGGTGAGACAGAGGGTCTCTATAAAGGGAGGGGAGGCAAGGACTCTGGGAAGCTGTTCGCATTGTCTTTGTAATTAGAGGCTCTTCTCTGCTGATGAGAAAAACCAAGAGGAAGAAAATCTTGAAAAGGCAGGAGACAGAAAGAAAGGGGGGGGGGGTTGGGTAACATCCTAGAGTGAGCCAGGACCCAGAGACTAGCCAGGGGTGGCCTTAGCCATGAGTCTGGAGAATCCCTGCATCCTAAGAGGCAGGGTCCTGAGGACCAGGAGCAGGAACAGCCACTGTGGTGAGTGGGAGCCTCAAGTCAAGCTCCAGGGAAGAAGGCTGGTGGGCTCTAGCCTCTGCCTACCCTCTGGGGGCCCAGATGGGATGGTAGAACCTGGGACTTTAGAGGAACTGGATCGTGAAGCTCGGGCTGGGCTGCTGGCCAGCTGTGTGGCTGGGCTCAGGGACTTTCCCTCTCTGAGCCAGTGCCTTCATCTGGAATAGCTTGGAGGTGTGACACCTCCCAGGTCATAAAGATGAAATGGGAAGATGTGGAAAAGGCCTGGTCTGGGCTCCAGTAGTACCAGGTACAGAGCAGATCCTTCTCTTCAGTGGGGAGGTGAGTGTGGTTGGCTACGCTGAAGGTGCAACAGGTTGGGGCTGGAAGCTGTGAGGATTGAGGCTGGAGGTGGGGCCTTTGAGGTGTCTGCCCAGAGACCTTGGGATAAAGCTGGGCTCCCTAGTCGTCGCTGTGTGTGGGTGTGTGACCACGCCTGGTGCCAGACTTGAGAGGTTTCATCGGGGAGATCATGAGGGCCCCCAGGCCTTTCCCAGGGAGTTATCACCCAGGGAGCTGTCACCATCACTGACGGGCAGGAGTGAACACCCGAGCCCATGGTGAAGGCAAGTCTCCCTAGTGCTCAGCCCAGATCGCAGCTTTGGGGCCTGGTCTCAGGAGGGCGGAGGAAGATTTCAGGAGTTCTGGGCAGGGACTCTGGTACCTCCTGAATGGCCTGCTTTTTGCCTTCCAGTGTCTTTTGGTAGATTGGTTTAAATCAATGTATGGTTCAAATGGCTTGACAACTATTTCTCAAGCACGTGCCAGGCCCTTGGTGGGATGATCAGGAGAACAAGACCAACTCTGTTCCCAGAAGGAACATGGGTCTGACTGGTGAGGGCTGGCGCTGTGATACCACATGCCACGCGGCCCATTGTGGAAAAGGTATGATTTTAGGTGATAGATGAACAATCACTTATTAAAATGTTATTTTAACTTGTATTAGAAAACTTATAATTAGCACATGAAACATCATTTCACAGGTATTGCTCAGGAAGAGGTGAGACTAAACAGAAAGAAGGTAGGTTGGGAGGAGAAGGCAAAGGTGATGGGACAAGGAAGTGATGGGTTGGGGTGGGGGCGGGGTCCAGGGGCTTTTGATTAATGATCTCTAGGAGTCCGAGGGGGTGCAGAAGGCAGGGCCACAGCACCACACTCCACAGGCTGCTAGCGTGTCAGGAGAGCGGCGGGCATCCCGGACAGGACTTCACTCAGGGCTTCTTCGGAACTGTCTTCACAAGTCTCCTTTGGTTACTGTGTAGAGAATGGATCGTGGGCGCCGGGAGCTGAGGGAGGGTGCAGCTGTGCAGCCATTACAGCTGAGGGTTGGCTGGAGAGACGAGGTGGGCTGAGCAAGCAGACGGGATGGGAAACGGCGACTGCTATGTGCAGGGCTGGAGGACTCCGGATCAGGCCTGGTGACAAACTGATGGCAGCAAAAGCCCTAAGAATGTCCCAGGAGTCAGCGTGGGTCCTGAGGGGTTAGCAAAGGGGAGGGACCGAGTAAAGGGAGGCCAGAGCTTTCTGGGCCCTGCCCCGCTACACCCCCTGGGATAGTCACCCACTCAGTGTCCTGGGCCTTCCTGCCCCGACGAAGCTTAGCATAGGAACAGCGGGTGTGTAGAGCAGTTCATCGCCAAGAAGCGAGAAAGGGGCAGGGCAGCTATCAAAGAAGGGCTTTCTGATGAGGTGACACCTGAAAGAACCCGACTTAACCACAGTGATTGCTGGGGGAAGTGCATTTAGGGCAAGTGCAGAACAGCAGGAGGCCGGAGAGAACAGTCCACACCCAGCATTTAGGACTTTGGCTTTCACTGAGGGGCACACAAACAGCAAGGTCTAAGCTGAGTGCTGTGGTCAGACTTGTTCTGTAGGCATGGCAACCACCTGGGGAACAGTGGGTAGGGGAAACAGGATCATCGAGGCAGGCTGGGGGGAGGGACAGAACAGTGGGGGAGTCCACCTCCCCAGCACCCTGCTGTACCCGGGTGGTCTATGTGACAGACAAAACACAGCAGCAGTGATGACATGTCTCTTTCAAGACTAAAAACCACTGGCTTCTATCTGGTCGCTTGTGTCTTAGATCCTTCACTTGGGGGGACATCAGTGACCCTGCTGGGAGCGGTGGTGCAGGATGGGGAGCGTGGCATGGAAGCAGATCCTCAGCGCATCCAGCCTCCGAGAGACCCAGAAACAACCTCCCAGCTTAGCTGCCCCTGCATTCTCGAACTTCACAAACTGAGGTAATAGATGTTTGTTTTTAGCTGCTGAGTTTTTGGGGCAATTTGTCACAGAGCAGTAGGTGATTACTGAGGCGATGGTTTAGGTGATCGTAAACAGAAGTGGTGACAAGTAGAGGGACCCTGACACACATTTTGGGCAGGTCCACTTAGAAATCTCAAGCCTTGGGGGAATGGGGGGTGGTGTGCAGTTTAGGAGGCGGGCAGTTGCAAAAGCCAGGTTCCGGCGAGACGCTGACAGGTGCACGGCACTTAAAGTCAGGGTCACTTGTGCGAGGTTGGTAAGACGGAGACGAGAAATAAGCCAACCTCCTTGCCAGCGTGGAGGGCGGCCCCTAAGAGGACATGAGCAGACGGGCGTAGACAGAGCAGAGGCGAGCAGAGGAGCCAGCCACACGGCTCTCAGGGGTTTTGCTGAAGGCAGGGGATGGGGCCAGGCAGCTGTTATGCTGATGGGAGCAATTCAGAAGGGACAGCGGTGGCCTGGCTCTAGGCCAAGGGCCCCTGGCCCTCTTGGGCGCTCCCCTGCCACCTTCCTGGCCAGCTGTCCTGGGGAAGCACCGCAGATGTGAGAGGTATTTCATGTAAAACAGTTCTAGAAGGCAAAGAAAATGACTTGGACCTGTTGGGTTTGGCTTCATATTGGACTTTATTGGGAAAAGTTAGTGTAAAAAACATTCAAATTCATAAGATTTAAATAAGACAGCAATATTATTCCTTGCAGCTATAGTAATCGCTCTAGTAATCACACATAAGGTAAAAGTCTAAATTACCGCCTAAGCAAACACTACTTTGTCAGGCTTCCGTTGCAAGCCCGAGGCAGGAAACCTTGCAATTATTAGAACTGGGCCCAATGATGAATTTGCATTTGAAGCTGAAGAAAGGTTGGAAAAGCATGTTCTGATTACGGCGTCACAACATCCTAGCCTGGAAAAAAGCTACTTTATTAATGTCTTGCAGCAGAGTACATTAGTCATTGTAACCATGCAGTAAAATTCTTATTTCATGTCATAAAGAGAGTAATCAGTTTTCTTCATGATACATTATGTTTCGCTGGGTTTTGCGTAGTCTGTCCCTCTCAAGACCTTTCTGGGACCATCTTTTCTCCAAGGGATGGTCTCCTAAGACGTCCCGGCTGATCACTCTGGGTCGCCTTTGGTCACTTCATACCTGGGCTGGTGGGAGCCCCCGCGGCCAGCCAAGGTGGAATCCGGTTTCCGTCTCTCAAACCCTCACGCCAGCACTCAGAAGAGGCATCACAAGTTGGTCACGGGTGTTAACAAGTGAATGTGGGCTTCTCTTTGGTTGTAGAATTCTTAAGCTTATAAAAAAATATAGCTAGAAATATGCTTCTGAATTTTAAAAGTATTTCTGACTGACTTAAACATAAAATTCACCACCTGGCCAGGTTGAAAAACTGCCTATTTATTTCCCCGTGGAAGCTAACATCAGTGTTCTGTTGAGCAAATACATTTGAGTGAAGAGCAGTGACTGATCTTTAGGAACCCCGAGGGGCAGGGGCGGCCGGCGGGGGCAGCCTTAGATACTGTCCATGGCTTTGAACTCACTCAGGGCCTGCACGGGGTTCACGTGCTTCTTCTGAGAGGCCCGTTTAATCTTGGTCTGTGTCTCATCCTGTTTCTCTCTCTTCACCAAGGGTTTCTTCTCGGGTGCCTTCATCTTCCACGACACAGCGGGGAGGTTAAGGGACGCCATACCCTGAGACTTCTGGTATTTGGTGGAGGCCACATAGGACGCCTTCACTGTCTGCACCACGGCGTTCATCAAGTTCTTGGCGGCCTGGATCAGGGACATGGCGCTGTCCACCTAAGAGGCACAGACAGGGCGGTAAGAAACTCAGGCCCGGCCTCCAACCATGTCACAGGGGCCTCAGGGTGCAGGAGGGGGCCCCCGGGCCAAGCAGCAGCCCCATTACTGATCAGCTTTCTGTAGCTGGCTGCTCTTAACCTAGACAACCTGCAAACATCTGTGTTTCAGACCTCTGAGGAAGAAAAGGGAGCAGTAAGAAAACCGTAAGGCACGATTCCCCTTGCGTACCCCCACTCAACGAGTGGGAGGAGGAGCTGCCGCTTCCGAGTGACCGCCGAGCCGTGCCAAGGAGCACCACTAACAGCCCCAGAGGACAGGTGTCGGATCGGCTGTGCAGGCACAGGCACCGTGGCTTGAACCAGGGAGCCCCCTCCCTCATTTAGACCCTTGGGGTAACTGCTCCCAGAGCGCGGGCCGGCTGGTGAGTAAGGGGTAGCAGTGTGACTGAGCTCCTGTCGCTTTGTATGGACCGTCTGTGGGATTAGCAGAAGCCACAGGGAATCAGTGGAGCCCAGTACAACGAGCTGTCCTCTTCCCCTGCCAGCGTGACATGGGGTGCAGAACTGTGACATGGTAAAGAGAGCGACTGCTCCGACACTCTGAAGCCTATCTATGTTGTCTTTCAATTTTTAAACAGGCTCCATTCTTCTCTGGGGTAGAAGACAAGACAAGGAAGATATATAAAAATATTTTTTCCCAGCGAGAGGCCAGCCCTATAATGGCTCCCAGCTGCCACCACCGTGCCAGGCTAAACAGATCTGCAGTTCAGCAGGGAATGGACAACGGGCAGCCCTTGGCCTCCAAGATGAAATCTCAGGCTTTTTTTTTTTTTTTTTTTTTTTTAAAAACCGCATTCTTTCCCTGGTCAGGGCAGGTAAAGCATGTAGGTGGACAAGAGGCTACTTTTATTTGGGACGTCCATCAACCCGTTCCCACTAACCATCTCTTTTCACAGGTGAAACTTACCCCAGAGACAACGAGCTCCCCACCAAGGTTCTGCACCTCAGCCTTGACTTTGCTGCAGATGTTGAGCTGGTGGCAGTAGAGGGCAATGCGCTGCAGGTAGGCCAGCAGGTCCTGCTTGCAGGCTGAGTCTGGACACTGATAGGAGAACAGGCTTTAGCACCAAACACTCAGGCCAGGCCCAGCCCACCCATCCACAGGCCCTTTGCCAAAGGCTCAGAGTGGCACTAATGGGCTTCCTCTCCTTGCCAGAGCAAAGGGCACAGCAGTTGCGGTGTCCATGTCCTGGGGCAGTCACAGCCCTAGGCTGTTCTCTGGGCCCAGGCCTTGCAAGGTGAGAGGGTTTCAGCAAGCAAGAGCCGGGTTCTGGAGTTAAGTCATGAAGGTTTTGCGCTCGGTAATAACCATCCAGATGACCCTCTGCTCAAAGGCAGTTTCTTGTGCGATTATCACATGTGATTTTCACCTAATGAAAGGAAGCTGTGTTTTAAGCAAAGATGGCGGCTAAGTGAATACACACAAAGCGAGGAAAAGAGCTCTTGCAGACCACCCGGTCTTGACAAATAACCTTAAGGGCAGCTGCCACCCATTTCCTGTCTTGTGGCAAAGCTCAGCGCCCATTTAGAAGGTTTTACCTGAAGAAAACAACCTCTCAGGTGTTGACAGCAAACATTTCTTCTTGTAAGGCTGGGTGCAGTGGAAAGGTGGGATAAAATGAGGCCCTGTAGACCCAGCTGGAGATTTTGATTATCTAAGAAGTTATTGAAAAGCAGGGCAGAGCCTCATCCGACCTAACTGGCAGCCATGTGGAGAGCAGGGTGGCAGGAGAGAAGCGTGGGAATGGGAAATCGGGCAGCAGGCACCGCAGCAGTCCAGGGTCGGCACTGTAGAGGTGTGGGGTGAGCATCAAGGGACAAAGGCCGGGTGGCTGAGAACACACAGTACTGAGGACAGAAGACTTATGTCCCCAACGGGGCTTTCCGAGCACTAGCCAAACAAGCTCGTGATTCTGGTATGAAGTAAATCCACTAAAGCTTATCCATGCCTTCCACATGGTAGGACGTGAGGAACCAGCTCCTGCCCAGAGAGGTAATAAATAAAGTAGAGACTGGTTCTGTCAGCCAAGGGGAAGGTTCAGGAAACACATCCTCTCCAGAAACGTGCTCTGATGCCCACTGGGCTGTGCTCCTACACGTCAGTGAAGAAACAGGAATTCCGACATCCTTAAAGTCTAGGCTGCTGTCAATCAGGCAGGGTAGTGAGTAAGAACAATATCGGGGACGAGCAGGATGCTGTGTCCCATGGAAAGTCCTGTTCTCGCCACCTCGGAAATGGCCCACGCGGGGGATGCCCCAGCCCCACGATGAATGTAGTGAGTGACCCACATGACAAGTCTGTCACTTACATGGTCTGCGATGGTACGGCCAAGCTTATCCATCCTGGATCCTGCCTCAGCAATTTTTTTTGCAGCACTGATCACATCTGATGTATTTTTCAGTGGTCCTTTACCTCTGGAGGAAAAAAAAAGTTATACATGAAAATCCTTAGGGCTGCAAACGAATGGGGAAGAGGATGCACAAAGCAGCCTGGCCCTGCGTGTCTGGGGGCCTGTGGGAGGCAGGCGGCACTCTGTGCAGCGGAGGGGTGGGGGCCACTCACCGAGTGAAGTCGGTCATCTCCATCATAATCATGCACATCTGCTTGGCCAGCACGATGATGTCATTGCCACTGTCGTCCCATTTGGACACTTCAGCATCAAGTTTGCTCTTTTCTTCCTGGAAACTGGCCACCTGTTCGGCAATCTTTGCTTTTTGCTCCTGGGGAAGCTGAGCCATGATCGCCTAAAATCAGAAGCATAGAAGCTCTTATGTAAAGAGAGATGACGTTCTCCCAGCCAAGATATTTCCACCAAGCAATCTATGACATAGGCAGGAGAATGCTTTACTAGGTTTCATTTTGCCTGAAGGGCCATTTCTTCTCATTTTGCACAGAACGGTTCCTGCAGTCTGAATTCCCGACCCACTTTCAAGAACAAGTTGTGTGTATGGAGAAAACCGCATGACAGGCAGCAGCTACTCCCGCGGCTTCGTGCGCATACCTGCACAGCCACAGAACCTGCCTGGCTTCCTCGTTAAGTTTCATCCTCTGTCTTCTGCTGTGGGGAGGACTTGACAAGGGGATCGCATGGGGGCCCCCCGAAAGGGCATTTCCTGTGGCTGTATTAGGTCTCCAACTATGCAAGGTGAACTATGAGTGGTTTTAGAAAGTAAATTTTGAAGAGGGAAGATAGAAGAGACTCTGAAAAGTATACATTTTTGCTCTAGACGGCACTGAAACTTATCAAAAGCAATGCCAGGAGACCCGTCACCCACCCTGAGTCCCAGAGTCCAGGCCTCAGGCTCCTCCCCATTCAGCTTCCTAAAGTGCTTATGATTGACGAAGGCCTCAAACAGGGACACACTTGCTGTTCAAAATGATTTCTAAGGAGTGAAAAAAGCCTCCTTAGAAATATTTCTTGGCATCCTCCCCAAAGCATAAATGCTATTGATTAGTGATTTAATGACTCAAATGAATGCAACAGCTCTGACTGGTTTTCTTGACTGTAGCACTTTTTTTTTTTTTCACCCATGAATAATTAATAGTTCGTGCCCATGATAGCATTGGGTGGGCAAAGACAGCGATCTTCTTCTGAATTTCACAATCCTTTTAACAAACATCACATTGACTATGTCCTAGGGCTTTCCCGAGGCAGGCCTCTGTGCTAAACTGAAGACCCCGGGCACAGTGGAGGCCGCCCATGTCCCCGCCCTGCCCCCAGCTGAGGAGACATTTTGGAGGAACCCACAGAGACTCGCAGGTATGACAAAGTGGGTTAATGTAGGTCCTAGTGCCAGAGAAGAGGAGGAAAAATGGTGTTTTCAAAATGGAACGTTTTCCTGGGGAAAAAAGGGCAAGGCCTGCAGCACAAGTCATACTGGCTCCTTACCCGGGCACTCTGGCCAGCGATCAGCTGGTCATCTTCTGTCTGGACGCTTGTTCTGCTCCTGACATCAAAGTCTTCTGTCTCGAAGTCCGAGTCGTCCAGCTCCTCAGGGGTCTACCACAAGACACAGATCATGAGTTACATGTAGCCCTGGGCTGTCAGCTGTCCCAAGTCTTTAGGCCCAGCATACGGACACCCAGAATTCTCGATTTTCATGTGCAGTGTTCCACAAACAGCTGTGGTTAATGAACTTAAAACCACTCCTCTGTCAGAGCTCCTGCCTCCTTGATGAGGCCACGGCTCCACGCAGGCACCTCCCAAACGATTTGGGGCCTCAATTTCTACCACTGTGTCAGGACAGTTTGACCCAGGTGTCCACTTCTTAATCCACTTAGTATGGTTTTCTAGCACCTACAACTTAAGGGTGCAAAATGTGTGTGGGGGGAAAAGACACTATATTAAAAATAGAGGTGTTTCATACAACATTAAGCAGATTCTCCTTCCCAACTTTATTTATACAAGCACTGGGTACAGTCAGAGGCACGGGAGGGTGACAGAATTCGCCAGAGGGGAGAGTAGAACAGGGAGAATGATGAAGTACACTGCTGAGGGGAGCAGCGGGCGCGGCAGGAGAGGTCTGCGTGCCATGTGAGTCCCTCGCCCCGTGGCCGGGGATCAAACCGACCCTACAGAGGCTGCAGGCAGCTTTGCAACCCAGCGCTCAACCGCTGCGCCACCAGGGAGGCCCTCCTTAGCAACTTTATAAGAAAAACAAAATTGAGTGAATTAACTAATTCTGGGCCTTCTCCTTAGGTACCAAAGGCTGCTTTGAGAAGCAACGGGTGAGTAAATAGCAAAGGGACAGATTACTGGCCCTAGCTCTTTGCTTTAATTATGAAATTACATTCTTATTTTGCACCACCTCCAGTCTCTCATGATCAGCTGCTGACTTGAGACATATTGTCTGTCTTCAGGAAGTTATCAGTAACAGGGCAGCAGGCAGAATAGCTGGGGTTGGCTCTGGTCCCGGCCTGCTGACCTGCAATAGGAAGGCAGCAAGGCAGGACCCTTGGCTGCACCGGGGCTCGAGCTGGGCCCACCAGCGGGCTTGCTGTGAGGCTCACATGCCAGGTACATGTGAGAAAGCACCTGAAACTGCCGGAGTTTCATGGAATTTTAAGGCCAGCTGTAAGGACAATTGTAATTGCACTTGTAAGGCCAGCTTTGTCCCTTGATAAAATGAAGTGAGGAAAAAGGGGGTCACCCAAGGCACAAGGAGCATGTCAGTGCCAGACCCTTTAATCTCACTCACGTGGCAGCACCAACATTATGGTGCCATTTGCCAATTTAATCTTGGGGTCACAGATACCTTCAAAATTTAGTGAACGCTACATCTGTGGAAGATCTTTCTCAAAGGAAGCCTCCTGATATGACCATCACTTCCACACCACCCTCCATAGCCCGCCAGACACCAGAACTCTTCTTGCCAAGAAAACTGAATACCTCCCATTCATTCATTTGCTGAGTATCTGTTGATCCTATGTGCCAAACACTATTCTGGGCCCTGGAGATACAAAATGACTAACAGAAATTCCTGCCCTCACATATATGCCAAAGGGAGAAATGACAAAAAAAAAAAAAAAAAAAAACTAGGAAAAAAATCATACTACATATTAGAAAGTGATTAGAGCTGTAAAGGGGACCGTAATTTTATATGGGTGGTCAGGAGAGGGGACATTTGAGCAAAGCAGTTTAGGAGCATAAGATGAACTTCCAGCAGATTTGCCAATACAAAGGCTGCAGGCAGGAGCTTGCCTGGGGAACTGGGGGACTAGCAAGGAGGTCATGGAAGATGGGCGCCACTCACTGGTCTGGGAACAAAGGGGAGAACAAGTAGCAAATGAGGCCTCCGGAGAATGTTCAGGAATGATCACTCCGGTCTGTGTACCTGCTCTGTGGACCAGGCGACAGCAGGCATAAAGAAAGACCAAAAGATTTTGCTGCTATTGGATATTGGATATGGGGTATGAAGGGCACATTCAAAGACTGGGGCCAAGCGAGTGGAAGCCAGAGCGGCCATCCGCTGACACAGGAGTGGGCGGAGCAGATGCGAGTGGAGCCACCAGGAGCTCACAGTATGCCTGAGGTGCCTATTAGCTAACCCAGCAGGCACAAGGGAGCAGGCAAGGAGGCCAGTGAATGCAGAACGCTGTGGAGACCACGCCTCTCCATGGTTCCCTCAAATCTTGGCACATGGTAAGAAGCTGACGAGAGAGGGAGCCAAGAGATTTCATTGGGGTGGGAGCATGACAGCACACGGGGTGCAGTGGGAGAGGCATGAGGTGCTGAGGGGATGGCCTCAGGCAGGAGCCCCAGGACGTCTACGGGTAGGAAAGCATGGCATAGACACTGCAGCTGCCGCTCGGCACCAAGGCCAGGCAGGGCGGCTGCGGCACAGGCCTGGGGGGTGGGAGAGCGGGCCATGGGAAACATCGCCACCTGGCCCTGAGCTCAGCGGCCCGGTCAGTGCTCTCCTACACGCTCAGCACAGTGGGATTTCACTAAGATGTGATTTTGCACGGAAGTGAAAGGGGACAAAGGAGAACATAGCAATGAGCCAGACTGCAAGCATGAGAAGGGGTGAGGCAAAGACCTGGGGGTGGGGGATGCCGAGTGAGGTGAGAGAATCAACCAATCACAGAACCTGGCCTCGGAGGATCGCTGGGAGTCACGGTACAAGAGGGAGTGAGCGGACCCTGGACCGTCAGCTGAGGTAGGTTTGGGGAATGACAAGGACTGGGAGGTGACCCTGGAAGTGAGGATGAGCTCAAGGGAAGACAGGAAACCTCTTAACTACCTCTTTCTCTTCAGCCTCTTATCATGTGCCAATCAAGAAACCGAGAGGCCCGGGGGTTGAGAGGATGATCCAAGAACGGTATGGGGAGCGCGGCCAGAAGCAGAAGCTCTAGGCCACCAGGCTGGCCATGCCTCTGCCAGCGGAGGCCTCCTTCCCGGTTCCTCACGCTGTACTTACCAGGACGTTTTCTCTCTTAGGTTCCAGCACAGCCGTAAGCAAGCAATGGCAGGAAACACCTACTATGTGCCTGAGCATATTACCTATACTTCTCATTAAAACCTTAGAAATGTCCGTTTCTAAGAGAAGAAAACAAGAGTCTCAGAGGTAAGGGGATTTGCTTGGACTCAGAGCTAGAAGAGGAACCCAAGCTCCTAGGATGTGCCCTCCCACAAGCGTAGCTGCTTCCCCGAACAGGACTCTGGCATTTGCACCCATCTCCTGGATTGTATGCTTACATCAGCTGCTTAAATTCCCAAAGGGGTTACTCGGGCTCCCAACCACTCTTCAAGGTTTCTTCTATTTCTAGGTGACTGTCAGCACAGGAAGAACTTTGGAAACACAGGGCATAGTTCATTATGCCAGTCTCCGTGACTTGGAGATCCTTCCTGCCACAGATGCGGCCGCTGGGTTGAACTTTGCATTCAACAGGCAAGGCCCTGGCCAAATACTGGTTCTTACCACAGCAGCAAGGATGAAGAAAGCAAAAGAGTTCACCAGCTCCCTGGCTTAACCCAGTAGGTGCAGCTGACCTGTTCCCTGCAGGGACAGCAGCAGCGGATCCTTGAGTCGTTCTCTCTTCCCACCGCACCCCCAAAGAGTGTGAATGTTGAAGGTGTTTTTACACTGCACACAAAATAGTTCCTGCCTGATGCCGTCACCTCAGAAATGCCATTTCCCAGTCACTCGGCTCTGCTGGCCGTTAGGCTGAGGGGGTTACACTTGGGACAGCGTTCCTACTGACCGCAAGAGATTTGAGTAGCAAATGTGAAGGTGTAAAAAGAAGTCCCCTGTGTCAGCTAGATGGACAGAACAGCAAAGCAGCCATCTCTGCTGCTCCTGCCTGCGCTGCAGGATGGGGAGGACCTGGGTATCTAGATGGTCGGGGGAAAGCGCTGCATTTGGCCTCCAGGGCAACAAGCTGCTGCTCCTTAGCACAGCAGGTGAGAGGTCAGCTGCTCTGGGGGCACCTGTGAGACCCAGTCTACACCCCTGACGATGAGGAGAGAGGGTTGGTGGTTTTCAAAACCCCTCTCTGTCCCTCACCCCCGCCAGTTCTCTCAGACTATGAGAGCTGCTACTCTCAGAGAGGATGGGTCGCAGGGTCCAGAGCAGCTGCCACTCCATTCAGCTGTGAACCAGGCGGCAGGGGTGGGGCTGGGTTCTAGCATCCTGCCTGCTGCCCCTGGGAAGAGAGATGTGCTCCCGGGGAACAGCAACTTCCGCCTGCACGAGGATATGCTCACTTCTCTGAAACTACCGGAAGAGCCTTTCTTTCTGCACTGTACTAGTCACTCAGACAGGAGCCTCGTATCTGTGGTGATTGTTTGCCCTCATTTAAATCGCCAAGAACAACACTCCTAGCTCCCATTCTTGGCTGAAGTTTGGGCTCTAACTTGCGACTAACAGTCATTTTAGACAAAGTAAATTAAACATATCTCATTCTAACAGCTTTTAGATTCATGGTTTTAATATACTGCCACTGCATCTGCTGAGTTCCAGAATGATGCATTGCTAAAGTTTAGCAAATGATAAGAAAGGAACGTTAAAATGTCTGAAATGCAGTTACTCACCCTTATCATCAACACCGCTTTCCTGATGTCCCGGATGCCATCGTATACCAGGCGGGAGGCGTCGATAAACTCGTTCTCATCCATGGGCTGAGCAGGGTCTGCGCTGAGGGCCTCCACAGCCGCTTCCACTTGCTCAGTAAAACGTGGCATGACTGCAGAGGAAAAAGCATCATCCCAGCGCCACCGCCACCCCCCCCCCCCAAATCCCTTTCAGACAGAAAGAGGCGAGATGTATGATGCAAGGCCCCTGCTTTTCCCTACATGAGATATATTTATGGTTGAAATAAATTAAATGTATTTTACAAAGACTGGAATCACATTCTGAAATAGGGATTTGGATGACTGAGAACTTGAGGTGAAATTAACCGGACACCTTGTGTAAGGGTGTGGGACCTTCCTTAATTAGTATCCACTAATAGGAGACTTAACGCAGAAGTTCATCTTAAATAGTATGTTCTGATTTATTCCCACCATTAATCATAGGGCACACATGAGGGAAATTAAGTCTGTGAAGACTTAATTTAACTCTCGAGAGTGATGCATCCCCAGAACCCTGAAGACCTGAGCTGAGTCCTGAATGTCTTACTTCCTAACCACAAGTTTTTGGATAACAGGAAGGCGGGAGGGGAAAGGGAGGTCACACACCTGTGTTGGAGAGCAGCTTGGTGGCTTCCAGCACTTTCTCTGTGTAGACCCCTGGCTCATAGTTGTCCATCTCTGAGGTGACTACATGGATGACCCGAGCTGCCCGTCCTCGAATGGCGCCAGCCGTGCGGTCCAGCCCATCTACATCCTTCTCTTGGAGAGCAATGACACATTTGTTCACGTCTTCCAAAATGTGATTCTCTGAAGAATAAGCAAAATGAGCAGTGAAAAAGGAGGCCTCTCACTAGAAGGGATCATTGTAAGTTGGCATCTATTAGTTTCCGATTGTTCAGTTAGTACCAGCTTCAATGCTAAAAACTTAACACATACCATTTTGCTTTAAAGACCAGATTAACTTTCAGTGATCACCTCCAAGAACAACAATGTTCAGTCCAGGTTTGAGAGAAAGACAACCATCTTGAAGGCACAGTTGATTCTGTACCTAGAGCAGAAAATCCAGTCTATAGAAACCTTAAGTTCCCTTTCCCTTCAATAATTTCACGAGCTTATGTCCCAAACAAAGGCTAACATAGAACAAAAGTCCACTATAAGTCTTTATCCTCAGAGTCCCTTGCCCCCTCTGCCAGTACATGCTAACAGTGTTGTCACTATCTACCAAGAACACGCACAGTCTTGGGACTGTTGGGAGGTGCTGGAAAGCAAGCTGAAATCCTCTGGAGAGCGCTGAAAGCCCACCTGAGGTGAAAACGCTCGATAACCTTGTGGGAGGCAGGTGGGCCTGTTGTGATAATGGCACAAATCGTAAGCAGTGCCTACCAATCACAGCTTACATTTGGAGGACCCACCAAAACTATTCTTCCTGGAAACAAGCCTGACACCGAATTTCAGGAATCGCAGGGTAAGGAGCTCACTTCAACCTTCATCTATAATAGCAAAGTGGGAGCAAGCACAATGTCCAAGAGCAAAGTAGGTAATAAATTATGGGCTCTACACAGGCGCTAAAATGGATGAGGTCGATCTATAGGGGCAGACCCAGAATGGGAAAGGGAATGTTCTCACTCACCCAGAACTGCAGAGCCTACCAGCAAAAAATGTAGCAACTCTTAAAAGCAGTGTCTGTTAAAGACATGTTCACTCATTTAAACCAAGGGAGTACCTGGCACAACTGCTGAAAGACTAATGGTCCTCGATCTTCTGGAAAAGCCAGACAATTAGGGAAAATGTAGGCAAAACATATCTGGTCTTTGTGTCTTTTTTTTTTTTTTTTTTAAGATTTATTTTATTTATACAAGCACTGGGTTCAGTCAGAAGTGAGGGAGGGTGAGACAATTCACCAGAGCGGGGAACAGAACAGGCAGAAGGACCAAAGTACACTGCTGAGGGGAGCAGCGGGCAGCAGGAGAGGTCTGCGCGCCATGTGGGACCCTCGCTAGTGGCTGGGGATCGAACTGGCGCTGCAGAGGCTGTGGGCAGCTTTGCAGCCCAGCGCTCAACCGCTGCGCCACCAGGAGAGGCCCTGGTCTTTGTCTTTTTTGGCCAGCCTTGGCTACCTTATGCTTTGGTCATTATCCAGGACTGGTTCCTCCTTTAGTGCACTTCCAAACGTCATTACTTTTCCCTCATAGCCACAGCTTACATACTTCATCAATTTACAGATGACAATGTCTGGAAGGGAGAAAATAGGCTTGACCTCTTAAACCTAGAATAAGAAAGTGGTCACGATGCTATTGCAAGGAGACCAACTGGCAAATGCTTCTTAGTGGATCTAGCAAAGAAAAAAAGCCACTACAATGCTCAGGAAAAAAGCCACTACAATGCTGTACTTCTGGGCTTCAGGGTGCCCTGCTGGCCACAAGAACCAAGGCCCACTTCTTTGTAATTCCTAAAGACTGCAGACAGGGATGCTACCAGTGTTTGTTCTAAAACCACAAATATAGAGGAATAAGATGAAAATCACAATGAAAAGAACTGGAGACTTGGTTAAAAACCCTTGTTAGAAAATTAAATATATACTCTAATCATATAACCCAGCAATCACTTCTTGGTATTTATCTAAAAGGAGTTAAAAACATGCCCACATAAAAACCTGTACACAGGACCTTTATTCATAATTGCCAAAATGTGGAAGCAACCAAAATGTCTTTCAGTAGATGAGCAGCTAGAACTATGCTATATCCAGACAGTGGAACATTATACAACACTAAAAAGGAATGAGTTATCAGGTCTTGAAAAGACATGGGAGAACCTTACAATGCATATTATAAAGTGAAAGAGGCCAATCTATAAGGGTTGCATACTCTGATTCCCAGTGCAACACGTCTAGAAAAAGCAAAACCACAGAGACTGTAAAACAATCCAAGTTGCAGAGATTAGGATGGGGAGGGATGAAATAGGTAGAGGACTTGTAGGGCAGTAAAGAGTCTGTACTATGATGGTGGAGACATTTGTCCAAACTTATAGAACGTTCACCACCAAGAGCAAACCGTAGTGTACATTATGGACTTTGAGGGATTATAAGGTGTTTATATATGGGTTCATAAGTAGTAATGAATGTGCGACCACTATGATGGGGGATTTCCTAATGGGGGAAGGCTGAGTATGTGTGGCATTAGGGTTTTATGGGAAATGTCTACCTACCTCTTAATTTTGCTGTGAACCTAAAGTAACTCTGTCTTAAATAAACATTTTTCCAAGGAAAGCCAGAATATATTAAGAATTCCTGTTACAGAAGAGAAAAATGAATACAGCCAAGAAGACCATAATTTAGCATCTACTAATTAAAAATTTATGAGACTTGCCAGTTTACTATTGAGAAAACATTAAACTTCCAACATAAAATTTTAGGTGAGATATTTAAACCAATTTTAAGAATAAATGAATTTTCAGCCCAATCAGAAGCATCTTTCACATACACAGTATCTACATATTCATTTAAACAGACTGGTACTGAGCCTGCCCACCATGCTAGTAGAAGTTAGATTCAAAATCATTGCTTTTACAGAATCCAACATTTTATGTTGGCATCCTGTATCACTGAGAAAAGTAAAAGGAATAAAAAGGCAAGAAAAGACATTGCTAATTAATCTACGAACCACCGTTTTCTCAAATCACTGATTTTAACACTCATTCCTGTTTGGGATTGTCACTACATAGGGGTAGGGAACTCATCTTAGAATCAATAAAGCATACCGTTATTTTTTATTTATTCAACAAAATGATCCAAACTTCCACCACCAAAGATGTGTTAACCTTCATCTAAACATCTATGCTTAAAAAAAAAAAAAAATCTTGAATTCACACTGGCTTTCTTCCAACAAGGGAGGGTCTGCTATTTCTTAGACAAAAGACAACTTCTGTTTTAGGAAACTGAAGTAATAGTCCCCATCCTAACCTAACACCCTACCCTAAGACTGCTCTCCTAACTGGGGCTACCACATACCCAGGACACAACATCAATCTCTATACTTGAGTCCAAGTGGCGGAGTGAGATTCCACTGACTGTTCAAACGTGGAGGTCAGGGAGTCCCCGCACTTTACTTTGTATTACTTCGGTGCTGGAATTTCCAGTAAGTGGACAAACCAATTCTGAATCCCATTAAAGACCGTTTAATACAATATTTGTAGATGCTTCTAATAGGAAAATCACCATACAATAATAATTTATGGACATTGTATCTATCTTTAAAAACCTTTCTAGACTGTGTACAGATCTACCTCATCCACTGTAATGGCTGCACACTATGCTACTGAATAGATGGAAGGGCCAAAATTCACATTCCCAATCTTCTCTTGAACATTTTTGGTTGAAGGGACTGTCCTTGTACAGGTATTTTGGCCAACATTTATGTACAGATCCCTGGGGAAAATTTCTAGCAATTGGATCAGAGTCAAAAGGCATGTATGTTTAGTAGACGTACAGTGCCTAATGACCACCCAGGAACCAAGCCAACTGGCACTCTCCAGAAAGGCTGCATACATTTATACTTCAGTCCTGTTCTTCATACATTTTGTTCTGGTATCTTTATTGGTGCAACCTTGGACACCACAGAAGGTGATTATAGTAATACTTAATATAGAGAACTTAATCTGTAACAGGAAATATTCTGAATCCTTGACATTTAACTCTATAAGGCAGGCATTTTTTCTACAAATCACCATTAATTAATGAGGAAAATGAGAATTAGAAGTACTGAATGATTTACCCAAGGTCACAAAGCTAGTGGGCATGGTAATCAGAAATCAAACCTAACTTTACCACTATCCTATGCCGCTTCCTTAAGAGAAGAAACTCTTTAATTTTGCATTTTTGCTATAATCATAAAAAAAAATTAGAAAGTTTTTTTTAATGACCTCCAGGCAGACCAAATTCTTTGGATACACTGACACTTAGTAAAGAAGAAATAGTACAAATTACCATTCACACATTGCCCCAAAATATCTAGTGCAATATTATTTGTTTCCAAAAGCATTTGGTGGGCCTCCCCGGTGGCGCAGCGGTTGAGCACTGGGTTGCGAACCTGCCCGCAGCCTCTGTGGCGCTGGTTCGATCCCCGGCTGCTCCCCAGCCACCGGAGGAGGGTCCCACATGGCGCACAGACCTCTCCTGCCGCCCGCTGCTCCCCTCAGCAGTGTACCTCGGTCCTTCTGCCTGCTCTGCTCCCCGCTCTGGCTCTGGTGAATTCTCTCACCCTCCTGCGCTTCTAACTGTACCCAGTGCATGTATAAACAAAACAAACAAACAAATAAATAAAACATGCCTCTATTAAAAAAAAAAAAAAAAAAAAAGCATTTGGTAAAGAAATATAATGAATCCAATTGGAACCACTCTAGCAAACCACTTGCCTCTTTAAAAAGGGGGAGGGGGGCCTCCTTGGTGGTGCAGGGGGTTAGGGCGCAGTCTATGAAACTATCCGCAGCCACTGCAGCAGGGGTTCCATCCCTGGCCAGGGAGCTACCCACACGGAGCAGCAGACCTCTCCTGACTCGCCCGCTGCTCCCCTCAGCAGTGTATATCAGTCATTCCTCCTGCTCTGTTCCCCACTCTGTCTCTGGTGAATCCCCTCAGCCCCTGCACCTCTGGCCTGTACCCCAGTTCTTATATGCATAAATAAATCTTTTTTAAAAAGCGGGGGGGGGGGGGGGCAAAAACTTCCCATGTACGCAACGAATGAGAAAGTAAATTGCATTTCCATGGAAAATGTTTATCAAATACAATTCAAATGAAATTCAAACAGTCTTTATCACTTTGATAAATTTCAAACCGCTGTTCTTAAGGGATCAGTCAATATAAATAAATTCATGGAGTGCTGAATGCTCACTAGCATCTTAAACCATCACCAATATTTACAAGGCAACATTCTGAATAGAACAGCCTGAGGAAAAGCAGCCCCACTCCCTCTTCCCTGGGGTGCCACGCATGCTCCTCTGTCTCCTATCCGATATACAGTGGCCATGTTTCTCCTCCTCTGCAGCCTTATGCAACACGGGCACGGGGTATTGGTGGCTTCACTAGGTTAAACACAAGATGACCCAATACTTTCAGAGTCACAAATCAGGACATGACTTGTGATAACAACGTCTGGATCCGTTGGGATAAAATATCTGGGAACAACAGACAAAGCAGTGGAGGGTCCTCCCAGTCCTATTCCCTAAACAGCTTCCCCTTAGATGGGTTCTCAGCGAGGTGGTAGGGCTACATCAAATCTTCCGGCCCCATGGATTCCAAAGGCAATTTGAGAGTGGAAAATCATCAATGGTTGTATTCCACCAAACCCTTCTTCCCGAAAGGACCACAGTCCAGAACACAATAAAAAAAGACTGCTCCAAGGAGTCAAGCGGCATCATTTTTTACCTGGCAAAATTTTAGGGAGTCCAACAACCATCAGCCAGACCTGTGCAGGGCAGCCCCCCATTCAGAAACGTGTCCACGTCACTAAGCAGTGTGCCTTGGGACAAAGGGAAGTAGAAAAGGCGGCAGGCGTGGGCCAGGCAACACGTGGCTTCTTGTGAAAGACAGCATATCCAGGGAGGCGCGGGTGCACTGGGCCTCGCCCGCTCAGAAGTAGGGGTCCTCTTAGTGAGGAACTTTCCCACCCAGGTTGTGTGTCAGATGAGCTGGAGAGACCTCTCTAGGCCCCCACAGAAAATGTGTGTGCTGTGGCTGCGTGAGGGTGTAAAGGAGCCTGAAAGCTAAAATTAACCAGTCGACCCAGCAGAACTGTGCACAGACATCTGTTTGTCTCCTTCATCCCATGTCCCTAAAAAGCACAGCACAAAAATCAGAGGAATTGTGAAAAATAGCCTTGCGTGTTAATTATTTAATTACTTTACACTAC